CATAGGAGAGTCACCAGAAGTAACTGCCACTAGTACTGAGCAAAGATTGATGTTCGATGCCACCATTCACGTGAAGATCATCTACACGGAGCCCTCTGATGGTGAGCATCTCACCACAAATGTGGACACACGAAGACGACGTCCATAATAATGGTCAGTTCGCAACGACGAGTTTCTCCCATGCTCATCATAAATCACCAAATCACTATCATCCGAAAACTAATAGCGACATGCATAATTGCAAAATATGAGGATCAGCGATATAAGAAGTTAATCACACTATAGTTTCACGACCCGTTTTACGTGAAGTGGTGTAATACTCGGTGAAAAATGCGATATTCAACGCGGTGATATGCAGTAGTCGTGAAATATATTTTTCATATCAGTAGAGTTGTGAAACCCCATTGATCCACATACGCACGTGATGCAAATTGCATCATCTTCATCACTTGATAAATGCCACCACTACGCATGTTACCATCAACAACCTAATAGAGTTTCACCACCCTAGTATTATGGAAAACACATTTCACGACCACTGCGTATCACCGCGAAAATCGCCTTTTTCACCAAGTTTTACGACGCCACTTCACGTGAAACGGGTAGTCGTAAAACTCCAATACTGTTCGAAAACATTTTTGAACTTCACGACTGCATTTCGGTCATAAAACTTATACACCACCAAAATAGTGACACGATCTGGATCAGCCCGCTTACCTATCAAAATTCCAGCGCCATCACCATCCCTCGGATCACTCATCAAGCCTCCTCTATGACTCATCCGACACAGCATTTCTCGGGCGTCGTCCATAATCTTCCTACTAGGGTGCCCTTTGATATCTATCACAACTCCAACGCCACATGCATCCTTCTCAAGATTAGGATCGTACCTAACATGAACAGTTTTAACACAAGACGATTAGGACTGCTGGTACGGTATCAGTCGAGACGAGACTGATGAATGCGGCAACAGTGTGCACAGAACTAGAATGCACATGCGTACACCACAGCTAATGTCGATCAGACACTTATGTGTGCGTCGCTCCGCTGGACTCCACTACAACGTGCAAAACACTTCGCAAATTACACCGGAAAAATCAATCCATATCACGTAACACACTTCACAGCTTTTACGCGTTATTCACTACGCGTCTTCCCCAAAGTGGAATATGTTTTCTACTACTGTTTTTCATATCACCGTTGAAACTCCAACAGTTAACATACTACGATGATTCTTATATAAATGATATATTGGAGTTTCACAACCCGTATAACGTGAAGTGGCGTAAAGCTCCGTGAAAAACGCAATATTCGCGGTGATATGCAGTTTTCGTGAAATATGTTTTTCCCTAGTGTTTTTCATATCACTAGGGTGGTGAAACTCCATTGACTCAGAATGCATTTTTTCGAATCAAAAATTGCCTCCCAAAAAACGCAAACTTACAAGCCCTGTTTATGCGGAATCTTTTCCCACACCGGCTGGCCGCCTTCCTCACAAATACCTTGGTTCTTTATACCTTCCATTTTCGGGTGGAAAAGACAACAACCGTAATAACAGTTTTTTTCCAGATTTTTCCGAAAAATGGAAGAAAATTTCTGGGGAAATTACGCTGATCTATACAGTAATCGACCAAATTCATACTAAAATTTTCGAGTGAGAAATACAACAGTGATTACAGTATTTCCAGCTTAATCCTTTCGTTTATCCGAAAAATGGTAGAAATTTCATAGAAAAACTGAATTAGCCAATTTTTATTAGGAGTTGATCTATATACTAGTTATATAAAAATCCGAGTCATAAAAAATTACATTCATATAGACCTAATTTATACTAAAATTTTCGAGTGGAAAATGACAACCGCTATTTCCAGCTGAATCCAATCGTGTATCCGCATTAAAAATTCGAAGGAAGTTTCCTGAAAAATGAAGTTGACCTAATTTATACTAGTTAAGAAATCCAAGTAATTAAAAATCAGATTCATATCGATTCAATTTATTCAAAAAATACAACAATGGAGTTTCACGACCACCCGTTTTACGTGAAGTGGCGGTGAAAAACGCGATATTCGCGTTGATATGCAGTAGTCGTGGAATATGTTTTTCGCTAGTGTTTTCCATATCACTAGGGTGGTGAAACTCCAATCATAACTACAGCATTTCCAACTGAATCCGATCGTGCGACGGATGGGTTATTAACTACAGAAATAGCACTAAGCATGATCCATCGCGTTTAAGTTTGACAAATAGCTAATATCTCTCAAATCGATCACCTGATCGATTCTAAAATCCCCTGTATAATTTAATCACAACTCTATAAGAATCTTAAATTGAGGAAACAAAGATTCAATCGAGCTCCATCGGCTCCTCTATTTCTTCACTATCTTCCTCAAGTACAGTTGCCACCAGCGGGGACGCAGACGTATTCTGAAAAAAAAATAAATCTAAAATCTTCCGCGTGCGTGAAATTCATCAGTGTTGTACAAGTGTTGATGACAATGTGAAAATGAGAGACAAACACGGTATGGTTTCTGCTGGGGATTGACCATCACTGAGAAATCGCGTGACCTCGTGAACTACCCCTGGGGCGAGCGCTAAACAACCTGTTGTGGTGATAAAAGAGAGTACCGCAATGATAGAACTGCAGACTCCAACAACTGCTGTGGGGATGTGGAGCACCCCAAGAGCATCCAACACAAGGTGTGTTCTGTAACGGACCTCATCCGTATCTTACCCAGTCAACCTCTGGATATTCATTTCTCCTATGCCAATTGAACACATACTATGGAGCTTCACCCGTGATATGAGAAACACTAGTAAAAGAAATATTCCGCGACTTTATATCGCAAATTTTCCACAGAGTATTGCGCCACTTCGCGAAAAATGGGTGAAACTCCCAGCACGCGCGCCATTTTTCGGGCGCGCGCTTTTTACAAATGAACATACCTTATCTTCTTCAACAACAGCAACATCATTGAT